CAGCCCCTTCTGTTGGTGAGATGTCAAGGGACCCTGTGACATTGAATCCCTCTTCTTTCTCTACCCAGGCCTCTAAGATGGCCACATACCAAGTTGTGGAGCTCCGGATCCTGACCAACTGGGGCCACCCCGAGTACACGTGCATCTACCGCTTCCGGGTGCATGGAGAGCCTGCCCACTAGCCCCTCGAGACCTCGTGCCTACTGCTAGCCACCTGGGAGGCTCAGCCTTCCCAGCACCCACCCCTGCGCTGAGTAGGGGCGCAGCCCCGCACCACTGCCCGCACATGCTTGTAGCGCTGACTTCCAGGAGCAGGGACTAAGAGGCAGCCATGTCGGACTCCCTGCACAGCCAAGCAGCCCGAGGTGGCCAACAGGCTCCCGTGCCTCAGTCCTTCCTCTAGAGCCGGGCGCCCGCCTGCCAGGGTGTATATATGTAGCATACTTTGGAGGACCGGGAGTCAGGAAGTGAGACTGTATTTGGTGGAGGGGCTGGCACCAGGGAGCTCCTGGTAGGTGCCAAAGCCATGGGCACACTAAGCCAGAGCCCCAGGGAGGTGAGCTGGGGGGTCTTGTGGCCTTTTAGGACAGTGCTCAGCACTGTGCAGCGGGGATTGTCTCTGGCAGATGCCTGTAAAGGACTCAGAGGCTGCTGTGCTCTCCCAGCGTGGCAGGTATCACGGCCCACAGGGCCCCTAGGGTTTCTTGTATCCTGGGGGTACCAGCTCCTGGGTGCCTCTGAGGACTGCTGTCTGTGCCAACCTAGACGATCCCCAGTGCTGGGGACCATTGCTTTTTCTTCGGATGTGGGATGAGGGTCTGCTCTACTCATCCCTGCTGTATCCTGCCTGTGCTCCAGAGCAAGCTTTCCATTCCCCCAGGGGAGGACCTAGGCTCTTGGGGGCCATTCCATCAGGGTAGCCTAGAAGAGGGGAAACAACTTTGTGGGTTCTCTTGGTCCAGTGCCAATAGCCACAGTGTGGCTCAAGGTGTCAGGTGGAGAGGCTACACTAGGCTATCCCATCTAATGAGACCCTAGTGAGGGTCCTGCCCACTCTAAAGCAACTCCCTTGGGCTCTCAGCTCTTTCTTAGATTCCGTTTCCTTTCTGACTCCTTCTCCAGGGGGGCAGTTGGGCAGGGGCTGGGGGGGAGGCTGGCAGAAGTTCCCTTGTGTGAGGAGGAGGAGGAAGAGGCCTTAGACTGAACGGCCTGCTGTACTATATATAGAATTCTCAAGGTCTGGTTTAACTGAAAAGCTCCAGCCTTGATTCCTAGCCCCATTCTGAGGGGCACCAGCTGTTACTCAGTTCCTAGTCCCTGGCCTATGGGAAGGGCCAGGGGGAGCTGCCAGGCAGGGGCAAGCAGGAGCCGTTAGGTGTTCTGGGAAGCGGCAGCCTGCACAGCCCTGCCCTCCGGGCTTGTCTCGCTCTTGCTCTCCTGTGACAGATGCTGCACTGTTGGTTCTTTTTTAAACAAACAAAACCCTCTCCAGACTAATTTATGCCTATGCAAAAATAAAGGATGCCCAGGATCAGTGGATTCTGCTTTTTTTCTGGTTGTCACAGAGCAAGTCAGCTGCTCTTGGAGATATAAGGGACTGAATTCTTAGCCAAAGCACTATACCCAAAGACTTGGTCCTAATGCGCAGAAACCCGGCCTTTGGTTAAAAACCACTGGGATGAACGTGGGCCCCGCCAGGGTCCACTCCAGTGTTTCTGGGTTTGCGGGCTGGCAGGAGGGAGTGTGAGGACTTCAGGGGATGTCAAGAGTACCCAGAGGAGGAAGACTTCCCTGTCTCTGCTTAAACAAAGGCAGAGGGCCTCAGGCTTAAGGAGGTGTCTCCTGAAGGGTCTGCCAGGATGTGCCAGGGCCTGGGGGACAGGCCCTGATGGCTGCCTGGATTCAGCTCAGGGTGACACTTCACCAGGGCTGAGGTGCCTCCTACTGACCATGGCATCCTGCCCAGAGCTGGTTCTCGCCATAGCTGAGAAAATAAAAACAAGGACTGGTCAGCAGGCAGGAGAGGGTGCTGGCTGGAGTACAAGTTGGCCTAGAGCCCAGGGACACGATCTGGACTCAAACTCCTTTCCACAAAACAGACACCACTGGGCAGGAAGAGGCCCAACAAACAGTCCAGTAACTTGCCACACACCATCAGGGCTCAGTGCCTCTGCCACCTGAACACATTCAAATCCTCTGGGCCTCTCACACCGACCCTTACAACATTGTCTCCCTAACCCCAGCCCAGCCAGATGCACCCCTGCACCACGGCACATTCCTGTTACATCATCTCAGTGCCAGGCACCAATGAGCCTGGACAGCTGCTGCATGTGATGTGAGGACCTGGCCACCTCCATCCCACCCCACCCCACCCACTCAGTCCTAGAAAAGATGCGGCACACTCAAGTTGCACATACAGAAGACGGGGTCTTTTCTTTATGAGACTGACAGATTAACAACTTTATTCTTGATGGACTACAAATGGGCTGGTGTTTTCTCTAAATGGAGAGCCGAGAGGACAGAGTTCTGTAGGGACCTTTGTAATCCCTATTAATGACAGTTCAACACTGAATTCAGTCAGCTTCTCTGGCCATACCCAGACCTACCTCCCTGAGGGCTGGGGCCAGAGTGGCAGTTATGGCTCCTGAGCACAGTTCTAGTGACCACTACTGCTTACAGGGGTGCGGTTAGATGCAATGAGGTTCCACCGTGGCCCAGCGCTGTAGGAAGTCACAGCCTCCACTGTGCCACGCGCCACCACGCTGTAGTCCCGTGACTACAAAGGCACCAGCCTAAGTGAGCCAGAGCCACTAACAGGTGAAAACAGCTGGAGTCAGAGGCGTGGCCCCCAGCTGGCTGGGAAAAGCTGTAGGGTGAGTGGGAACTAACTAACCCACTGGAGCCAGCCTTCCTTCCCTGAGCTTCAGTGTTGTCCACCTCGGAGACGGCAGCAGTGACCGCCTAGCCGTGGAGTGGGCAAGGCCACCCACAGCAGCACCACACTGCGTGCAGCCTGTCCAGAACACCTGTCTCCCTCACACTCTCAACGACTCCACACCGCCCGGAGGCGGGGATCTGTGTGAGGAGGAAAGTGGGGTTCAAAGATAGCTGGTGGAGGGAGCATTTACACCTGCGGAAGCGGGGCTCCCGGAGGCCCCGCTCCCCTCGGCTGCCGGCAGGTGCCCAGGGCCGGGAGAGCCAGTGTCCCGTCGCAGCACCTCCACCCGGAGGGCCGGGCAGGGAACATGACACTGTCAACTTAGAACAAACTTTTATTGTGAATGCTGGTCTGGTCAGTCCATGGCCGCGGGGCAGTGGTAACTAGAAACAGCTGGAGGAAGGGCAGGGTGGTAAGAGCAGTCAGGAGCAAAGGACGAGAGAGAGGGGGGGGGCTGAAGAGGGACCCAGCCAGCTGGGTGCATCCTGGCTGAGAAGGAGCACCCCAGCCTGAGGTCAGGGTGCAGGGCTCGCCCACCCTCCCCCAGCAGCAGTGATTTGATGGCCTAGGAGACTCCACTGCCACTGCCCTTACGCACCCCAACGGGACATCTGGGCTCAGATCTTCACTGCTGTGATGCCATGGCTGTAGCAGCTATGTTGGGGTGATGTGGGAAAGAGGGTTTCTAGTCCTGGTTCAACTCAGAGAAGCATCTCCCCCTCCCCCACCAAAAGGAGGTACTATAAAACCCTATTCAAAGAAGGCCCAGACCCAGTCTAGTACCCACGCTCTGAGGTTCAGCCAGAGATCTAAGTGGAAACGGGAAGAGCCTCCAGCGGGTACAGAAGCCAGAGCAGCCAGGGCCAGCCAGGCAAGCCCGGGATTGTCTCCAAGGGTAAGCCCACCCAGTTCTTTGGATCCACGGCAAGGGTCAAGAGTCAGGGTGGGCAGCCAGGCGGTGGTGGCGCACGCCTTTAATCCCAGCACTTGGGAGGCAGAGGCAGGTGCATCTCTGAGTTCGAGGCCAGCCTGGTCTACACAGCGAGTTCCAGGACAGCCAGGGCTACACAGAGAAACCCTGTCTCAAAAAAAACAACAAAAGGTCAGGATGGGCAATCCTACAATGCAGTTACCATGCCCTCTACAGATCACAGGTGCCACTGAAGAGCTTTTGGCATTACCTGCTTGGGAGCTTAGGAGGGAAAAGGAGAGACAGGGGAGGCCACCACTTTCCATTAAACTCCCCAAATCTTAGACTGGGGGGTCCCTGCTCTGGCAGAAGCTATTAAGCCAAAGAAGAGCTTCTAGGTAAGGGGGGCAACCGGCCAGGGAAGAGAGGTGCCTTGGGCTCCTGAGGTTCCCTAAGGCTCTGAGGATCTCATTGAGACAGACAGATGGATGGAAGGACAGAGGGCAGCTCTTGAAGGCTAATGGTCAGCCAGGACTGACAGGGTCAGCTGCACTCCTGCACACACCCCCATACACACCCCCATACACACACACACACACACACACACACACACACACACACACACACACACACACACACACACACACACACACAAGACAGAAATATATAATAAAAAGAATAGAAATTAAGGGCCCAGATGTACGAAAGACGTAAGGGAGGAGGCAGGTGGGAGATGATGGTCAGTCCTCAGACATCTAGTCCATCCTCATCTTATAAATTATAATCGCCCCCTGGAAAATGGGGGTGTGGTAACAAGGATGCTCTGGCTGTGGGCTGGAGTGGGCGGGTGGCGGTCAAAGATGCTCTGCCCAGCTGGTGAGCAGTAGCCAGAGTGAGGATCCCATGGGTGGTCAAGTGGGCCAGGGGAATCTTCAGCAGCCGCTGGCAGGAGTCACACAGGCCCCCTGGGACTTCACCTTGTGGCGCTGGCCCCCTCGTCGCCGGCCCCCACTGCTGGGCTTGGGCTAAAAGAAAGAAAGCAGGCACTTGAGAAGTGGTGGTCCGCTAAAGCAGGGCCAGGGGGTGACCTGCAGTAGCCCTAACCTAGTCAGGGGCTCCCAAGGGGAAGTGGAGTCTTCCTGGTCGTGTGGCTATGTGTGGTAATGTGGGGGGGGGGGGGCTGGCCAGAGAAGCACAAAGGAACAGGAGTCGGCATGCATCACTGCTCACTGGGAGAGGGGCTCAGAAACCACAGGACGGGGCGTACAAGGAGAGGGAAGAGGAGGAGCGCATGGGAGGAGGCGGGAGAGTTGACACTAGGACTGTGCGACAGTACCAGACTCAGAAGCCTGCTCCAACAAGACCAGAGAGAAGGACGTGGGACAGGCGGGGAGGGGGACTGAGGAACGGGCAGGTGAGCCAACCGTCTGACGCACAGCGGGACAAAGACCCGGCAAAGGCTCCTCACGCCGGGAGAGGTGCAGAGGAGTTCTAAGGCAGTGTCCCTCAGGTGTGGGGTCTCAGCCACACACAGCACTAGAACCCAAATACATCCGGATTACCAAAGGGAAGCCTTGGCCGGGTGTGGTGGTCAGGCCTGTGATCTCAGCACCAGAAAAGCTGAGGAAGACTACCTTAGGGTCAGGGCTGGTCTAACCTACAGAGTCAATTTCAGGCCAGGCTGCCCTACAGAGTGAGATCCTGTCTTTTTAAAAAAAAAAAAAAAAAAATCAAAACAACAAAAAGGGGAACCTTGACATTTTTCTATTCTTTATTTCATTAAAACCAAACACCAATCAGGACCAACTAGATGATCAGTCCTGCCCCTCCCACCACAATGCTGGAGACCGTAAGAGGCCCTGCTTACCTGTGCCTGGAGACCACTGGATGTAGCAGCCTGTGCAGTCCCTAGAGAGGAAGCTTCATCTCCAGTTGGGGGCCCCCCGGCCGCTGGCACGCCAGATGGACCTCCTTCTTCTCGTTTGCTCAGGGGACCCTTTTTTGTGGACTGCATTTTAATCTGCTGGGGCTTGGAGTTCATGGGGGAGTTGTTGGTCGTCTGGAGGAGCTGTGGAGACCAAGTGGATAGCATGGTGTGAGAGCCGCCTGCCCAGTTCTGAGCGAAGCAGATGACAGGAAGGCCACCTCAGGAGGCAGAGCAGAGGCCTTCCCACTCCCACTGAGGCCAGGACTACCACAGCCCTGGTACAGATGGCCCGTCCTGCCTCTCCCTGCCTAGGAAGGCTCCAGCCCCCTGAATTTCTGCCGCCCTACTCCCGCGCTCGGGGCTGGGCTGCCCAGCTCTGGACCATGCTTTAACTTCAGGCCCCTGAAGAAACAAAAGAAATGCCCATCAGGAATCATAAAAGCTACCATCTAGGAGCAACTGCCTCGGAATCTTCCTTGTGGCCCAAGTTCAATCTCAACCACAGCAGGAAAGAAAACTGGCTGGGTTCCCCAGGACACCACAGTGGGTGCTGTAGTCTCTCCACACTGTCAAGAAGACAGGCCCAAGGGGAGCATCTCAGGAAGAAAAGCCAGTCTGAGGTTCATTCCAGTCTCAGACATGGAAACCATGTCTTCCTCTACATAGGCAGGAGTCAAACCCTCTACCAAATGTCCTACCCAAAACCATGGATGAGGTCGGTCTACAGCAGGCAAAAGGTGGCTCCAGGAAAAAGAACTCAAGCACCATGGGACCTTCCAACCGTGTCCCCATGAAAGCCAGCACTCACTCCAAATGGGTCTCCCATACTGTGGGAAGCCCTCAGGCATAGACCCCAGCAAGCCCCAGGCCCCAGAGGTAGTGCCTCAGAGGTCTAGCTTGGCTCCCCAGACACTCTGCCCTATGGAGGAGCACCAGACCCCAATGCCACCTTCTCTCCTTCAAGACAGCCTCCGAAGTCCAAGACAGGAGGCCTAAGGACAACTTTGGGGAAGCAAAGACATCACCAGAGCCATCTCCTAGTCCTGGCTCAGCTCTGCCAGAGCAGGAACCATGCCTCTGTCCCAGAATGAAGATGACTCCTGGGTTCTCAAGAGGAGCTTGGCTCCTGGGTACTGGACTAGAGCATACTGAAGCTTCCTTGGGCAGGTAAGGCTATGCCAATCATACCTTGGTGATGGTGCCAACAGCCTTGGTGCGACCTTCCCGGAACACCAGTCGCTGGTCTATGTGCAGGTACTCGGGGGTCTTGATGAAGCGGAAGTGGACAGTGGCCTTGTCTCCTGTGCGCAGACAGTCTTTATCCATGCTCAAAATGGTAGCTGTCTGCCGGATGCTCCCACAGTGTACTGCCAAGAGAAGAGAGTCAGGACAGGCATGACCTACCCTGTGGCCTCAGGCTAGAGCTGTTTCTCTAAGATGGGACAAGAACTCTGAGAGCCAGAACATCAGTGTAGCCTACTTTCAGATCTGATCCTGCCTCCCCCATCTCTCCCTTTCTAGGCCTGTGTGGCAGAGCCTGAGTGCCTCTGTGTGTAGACATGCCTTCCCACAGGACTGTTCTAGCACCTTGACGATCCTACCAGGCACACAGCTGTACTCAGCAATCTTGGCTGAATAAATTTTGGCAGGTGGCCCCTGAGGACAGGTCTCGGCCTCAGAGCATCTGTAGGACTGAACAATCAGTGCTGCTCGGGCTGGACTAAAGGAACGGCTTGGCTAAGCAGGCTAGAGAACTGCCTGGCCTGCAGCTGGAAGCCTTGGGCTTAGACCGCGGAGCTCCTTTGCGGGGACGCTAGGACACAGCCCCTGAGGCTGGCAGGACCTCAGACACCTACCCATGGCTTGGTAACGTGGACTAATTGTGGTGGGATGGTGGAGGACAAGAATCTCAGCCTCAAATTCCCAGGAGGCTTGGGGATTCAGGCGTGGGGAAACCATCACCATGCCTTTCCGGATGGATGAGCGCTTTATCTGAAAGGAAAGAGAACACAGAGCTCAAGGACCATGGTTTCCTTCAGGTTTACCCAGCCTGGTCCTAGAGATCAAGATGTCTCTCCAGGAGTGGAACCACTCCAACAGCCCACTTCTCACCACCATCTACTGCAGACAGTACAAGGCAGCCTCGGCGCTGTGCAAAAAGCTCAATACCGCTGCCAGGAGGCAGGAGAGACTGCCCAGGGGCTCGGGTGCGGGCCTGACGGAGCCAGGAGGCAGGAGAGACTGCCCGGGGACTCGGGTGCGGGTCTGACGGAGCCAGGAGCACAGGGAGGCAAGCCAGCATTCAGGTGGAAGAAACCAGAGCAAACCTCACCACTGGAGAAGACAAACCAGATCCCACTTGTCCCGATCATTCTGGCTTCCAGGAAGGTAGGTAACTCCAGAACTAGTGCTCACCCCAAACCCCAAGACATGGAAGAGTACGGGGCACAGATCCCATCCATCCTAGGCTTGAGAGGGCGGCACTGTGCACAGGAGGGACACTCCTGTCGACTGTCTGTGACAGTGACAGCTGCTCAGGCCACAAAGGCAGGGGCAGAGCTCAGGAGACAAACAGCTCCGGATGAGCCCTGGCTTGGAAAGGTTACTAGGCTGTGACCTCAGTCTCCTCCTCCGTGAAAAAAGGGTCAGTACCCTTGCAATGCAGCCATAGCACTGGACTTAGGAGAGTTCAAGCAGAGGTTCTGGAACCATCCTCACTCACCTTCTTCAGTGCAAAGGAGGCTGTCTGGCCCCCCCTCACCTCCTTGACAGGCATGCGCTTGCGGTGGATGGACTTGACAGCAATGGACAGGAAGTTACCCAGGGGGTCTGGGCCCAGCAGCAGTGTGTCATTCAGCTTGATCAGGCCCCTCAGCGTGGTCCCGGACACCACTGTCCCCACACCCTGCCAAGAAGAAGACCCCAGCCTATTAAGCTTATTCCCATCACAGACTCATTCACTGAGGACAGAGCAGGAAGTGCCAGCCACCCGGAGGCACTCACAGGGACAGAATAGGTGTCATCTATCTGGAACTCGGCAGGTTCTTCCTCCCTGTAGCTGGTGCGGGGGGACAGGAGGTTGAGGAACATCTTGAGCAGATCGAGGTTCTCGCCTGTGACGTTGGAGATCTGGAATATCGGGCACATCCTAAATGGAGGAGAAGACATAAGGACGGGAGGCCTTGGGCAGCCACCTGGCCCCTCTGGCCCCACTCCTCATCTGTCTTATCTGACATCAGGAACTGCATATTCCCGAGTACCCCACAGGCTAGGGACTCCAGGGAGCTGGAGCGGGCTGGACCCCGAAAGCGCCCCTTGTTGACAACCCGTGGTACTGAAGACAGCAGCAGGCCACAAACACAGGACCAATGCCGGCTGCTCTGGAGCACAGAGAAGTCGGGGACAGGGGGCTCCCAACAGGGCCCTGGCTCCGGGCAAACGAAGGAAAGGAACAGTTATCAAAAGATGACCTTGGACCCAGAGCACTGGGCCCAGATACAAAGAAGTCCAAGAAAGAAGGCTGGGCATGGTGGTGCATGCCTTTAATTCTAGCACTGGAGGCAGAGGCAGGCACATCTCTCTCTCTCTTAGTTTGAGGCCAGCCTGGTCTACAAAATGAGTTCCAAGACAGTCAGGGCTATGTAGAGAGACCTTGTCAAAAAACAAACAACAACATAAAATAAATATAAACAGAGGTTCAGGGGAGGAGCTGCGCTGCCTTTCCTGCCCGCCTTTGCTTCTTGTGGACCAGTGCGCCTACTGTTGGTGCTGCCTTTCCTGCCTGCCTCAGTTGACATCACAGCCCAGTTTCTTTGGCCTTGCAACATGGACTAAAGACCAGCAGCTCTCCAGGTGTCCTTGAGGACGTCAGCTCCAGACTGGAACTAATGAGGCATCCAGCCTTGCGGATGAAGCAGCTATGGAGTTCTCAGCCTCTCCATCCAGCAGATGGCCACTGTTGGACTATTCCGCCTGTATTGTGTAAGCCAATCTAATATACCCTGTGTGATACATATTCATTCCATTGGTTCTGTGCTTCTAGAGAACCCTGGCTAATCCAGGAAGTTAACTGCATCCCCATTTCCCAGGTAAGGATGTGATGTCCATCTGATTCCAATGTCAGAGAGATCAGTAACTCGGAACAGGAGCCGCCCAATATAAGCTCTGAACAACACTGCTGACCGAAGAGACTCGTGCAAAGACAGAACCTTCTCTTTCCTCCAACCATGTCCAGGAGACCTCATGCTTGACTGCTGGCTGTTTCAGGCCTATGGCTCGCTGTGGCCCCGCTGGCAAGGGCGCCTCTTAGAAGCCATGCTTTCCCGCCCGAACGTTAGCCTTGCCCGTTACCTCTCAGAGCTGAAGTTGGAGGCTGTGACAATCACATCGTCTTTGCTCTGCACCAAGACAGGGATCTTCCGGCAGCCTGGTGACTTCAGCAGGCGCTGTAGCAGCTTCAGGGTTTCTTAAAGGGTGAAATGGAACAGAATTAGGGGACACAGGCTTCTCTCTGGCCAGACTTCCAGGGTAAGACGGGTGCACTCAATACTGATGCAAGCAGGAGACAGACAGACAGACGGACCAGTGTTAAATGCCACAATGCCTGGAGAAGCAAAAAGGAAGATCAAAGCTGGGTGGGTACATGCTGCTAGTGTACAGAGCACAGATGGGCCTCTTTTCTAGGGCCATGAGTCTGGACATGCAGACAAGTGCCTGGGGTTACAATCTGCAGGGGCCCTCCTTATGAGACCTTCTAGTGGGGACAGTGCTGTTCAACTTGCAGCACCAGAGGTACAGAGGCCTGTCCTTTGGTGGCTAAAGCCCAGAAGACCCTCTGCCCCAACTCCTCCATACACATCTGCTTCAACGGGCCAGCCCAATGCCTGCTGAGGAGGACACTGGGGGAAATGGCAGACTAGGGATTTCATAGATCCTGTGCTTGGAACCAGGAAGGAAAAAGAACAGAGGGAAATTCTAGACTTCTCCTAAATCAAGAGCTACATAGGAGAGGAAGAAGTAGAATCGGGCTGATGGAAACTGAGGCCAAGGTCTGGCACAGACAAGGATGCAGGAGGTGCTGGGCTGAGGCTCTGGAGCAGACAACCCCGGAGGCTGCTGCAGCTGGAGGCTTCACTCACCTTGAAGGATGTTGGCAGGACACATGTCAATCTTGGTGACAACCACAAAGACAGGTACATTGAGTGCCAATGCCAATCCCAAGTGCTCCTTGGTCATCCCCACGATGCCAGCATTACTGCCCACCTGCCCCAACAGAAAGGAACTGTCAGGACAAGGAAGACAGAGAGTGCTGCTTGGTGGGCGGCGACTCCAGCCTGCTGGTGAAAGCTGGGCTGGGTGAAGTTCATTTAACCAAGCTCTGGTGATGAGGACTTACACCTGAAAAGCAGGCCACAGCAACCCCAGCTACTCAGGAGCCGTGAGGCCTGCCTGGGCTACAGAGAACTTTTAGAGGCAGCCTGGGAAACTGTACAAAAAAACCCTGCACCAAAAAAAAAAAAAAGTAAAGGGCTAGAGGTGCAACTTAAGAGATAGACTTTGCCCAGCATCACCAGACCCAAGGTTCAGTTCTCAGTACTGCAAAAAACAGACCCAATAAACAAAAACTTAGTTCAAACCAACAACAAAAAAAACAGAGGAGTCTTGTAAACAATAAGGACGGTTCAGAGTCTGGGATGCACAACCATCTATATTCCCCAAAGTGTGATCAGTTTAACATCCTTGGTCTTCAGTAAACACACCTTTAAAACAGGGCTAAACACTTCTACTTTAGAGGATCACTGCTGTAGAATATTATTTTAAGGTGTGTTACTTTTGTTCATGTTGCATTTGTTCAACTCTGTGAAGCTGTGTTACTGTGCCTATCTAAAACACCTGATGGTCTAATAAAGAGCTGAGTGGCCAATAGCAAGACAGGAGAGAGAGATAAGCAGGGCTGGCAGGCAGAGGATAAATAGGAGGAGAAATCTGGGAGGAAAAGAAGAAGGGGAGAGGAAGGAGGAGGATGCTGGAGGATGCTGGAGGATGCTGGAGGATGCTGGAGGATGCTGGAGGCCAGCCACCATGGAGTAAGAGTGAAAGAAAGCGGATAGAAGAGAAGGTAGAAATCCCAGAGGCAAAAGGTAAGCGGGATAATTTAAGGAAAGCTGGCAAGAAACAAGCCAAGATAAGGCTGGGTGTTTATGATTAAGAATAAGCCTCCATGTGTGATTTTATTTGGAAACTGGGTGGCGGGCCCCTCAAAAGAGTAAAAAACAAGCAGCAGGTCACCTTATGTTTGACATCAGAATGGACATTTGCTGTATGAGCACATAGTATCTCTGGGGCTGGAGAGATGGCTCAGGGGTTAAGGTACTGGCTGCTCTTCCAGAGGACCCAGGTTCAGTTCCCAGTAACTACACAGTGGCTCAACACTGTCCAAAACTCCAGTTCAAAGGGTTCCTATGCCCCTTTTGGCCCAAGGATACTACATACAGTACAGATACATACATGCAGGAAAAATGCTCATAAATAGAAAATAAAAAGCATTTTCTGTATCTCTGGCAGGAATACCAGAAACTGAACACAGTGGCTGCCTCTGGAAACAAAAGAAGGGAAACTTTTTACTACATGCTCTCAGTTGTCTTTTTAAAAAATATATTCGCCAGGCAGTGGTGGCGCACGCCTTTAATCCCAGCACTCGGTAGGCAGAGCCAGGCGGATCTCTGGGGGTTCAAGGCCAGCCTGGTCTACAGAGCAAGATCAAGGACAGGCACCAAAACTACACAGAGAAACCCTGTCTCGGGGGGAAAAATTATATTTTCATGCTGGGTGTGGTAGCACATGCCTTTGATCCCAGCACTTGGGAGACAGAGGCAAGTGGATTTCCATGAGTTTGAAGCCAACCTGGTCTCCACAACAAGTTTCAGCAAGGGCTACATAGTGAGACCGTCTCAAAGCAAACAAAACAAAACAAAAACAAACCAAAAAAGTTTATTGTGTATGTCTGTGTGTGTGTGTGAAGAGGGAGTCACGACTGGGACAACCTGTGGAAGCTGGTTCTTCCAGGGATCCAATTCAGGTGGTCAGGTGTGGCTGCACCCACTGGCGTTCTTCATGGCCTTTTATTTCTGTACCATGCAAGTGAATGCCAACCACAGTAAAATGAAGAGAAGCTGCCATCCTGTGCCTGTGTGGCACTCTGAACACGCTGCACATCTTCACTGTGTGGTTCTCACTGCTGGCAGCATGCAGGGGGGTCTCCAGCCCTGCTGTGGCCCCCGCTGCCTGTCTGAGTTGCTCTCCGGTCCTCCAGCTACTTCTTCCCACTCCCTTTCAATCCAAAGGGACACACTTCGCTGTTTCCACACTAAGCCTGAGAATGACCTATTGGTTTCTGTATGTCACTTCTTTTCCCCTTGGAAAATTCATCACTGTGGAACATTAAGATATTCATTGTTCTTGTTATTTATTTACTTAAGAAAGAAAAAGAAGCCGGGCAGTGAGGGCACACACACCTTTAATCCCAGCACTTGGGAGGCAGAGGCAGGTGGATCTCTGAGTTGGAGGCCAGCCTGGTCTACAGAGAGTGTTCCAGGACAGAAAGGGTTACACAGAGAAACCTTGTCCCTTCCCCCCACCCCCAAAAAAGGGGAAAGACAAAGACAGGGTACTAGTATGTAACTCAGGACCCTCTTACCTCCCCTCCCAAGGGGTGGGATTCTAGGCATGAGCCGCCACTACACTCAAGTTATTTATCTGCTGTCTACAGAAATTTAATAAATGGACGATGGCCTAAAATTCAGACAGGAAAATTTTGTTTGGGATGATGATTATCCCATCATTGTCCTTACTCATTACAGTTCAGTTAGAAATGCTTTTTAATTGTATGAAGAACTGGAGTCTCTAAGTAAAGGCATGATAAAGAGGCTGTGATACAACAGGAGCATGTCTCTCCAGGAGGTGCTAACTAGCTAGTGTGGTTCATCCACACTGTGTACACACACTGACATACACTGGGCCTCATAAGTGGTACAATTATTACACAGGTCAGTCGATTACAACACAAACAGAAAAAAAAAAGTGCTTAAGTTAACTTGGTTTCCAAACCCTTCATGTTTAAAAAAATACATCCAGGGTAGAATTTTTTTTAAAATATTATTAGAGGCTGGAGAGATGGTTTAGCATTTAAGAGCACTGGCTGCTCTCCCAGAGGACCCAGGTTCAATTCCTAGCACCCACATGGCAGCTCACAACTGTCTGTAATTCTAGACTCTGGGGAATCTGATACCTTCTGTTATGGAATATGTTTAATTATGTAAAGATATAATGCATTTGTTTAATTATGTGGAGGTGTGTTGCTGTGTCACCTTGTCTGCCTAATGCACCTGATTAGTCTAATAAAAAACTGAACAGCCGGGGCTGGAGAGATGGCTCAGAGGTTAAGAGCACTGACTGCTCTTCCAGAGGTCCTGAGTTCAATTCCCAGCAACCACATGGTGGCTCACAACCATCTGTAATGAGATCTGGTGCCCTCTTCTGGCCTGCAGTCACATATGCTGTATATATAATAAATAAATAAATCTTTAAAAAAAAAAAACTGAACAGCCAATAGCTACACAGTAGAGGGGTAGGCAAGGCTGGCAAACAGAGAGAATAAACAGGAATCGAGAAAGAGAGGGAGACCTCAGGGGCCAGGCAGACAGACAGAGTAGGACATACATAAGGAAAGAAAGGTAAAAAGCCCCAAGGCAAAATGTAGGTGAAGAGAAACAGGTTAAATTAAGTAATAAGCGCTAGTGGAACAAGCCTAAGAGAAGGCCAAGCATTCATAACTGATAATAAGTCTTCATGTCATGATTTGGGAGCTGGTTGGTGGTCCAAGAAAGCCTGCTACAACTCTCTTCTGACCTGTGAGCCCAGGCACACATGTGGTGCACAGGCAGGCAGAACACAGACACATAAAGATTAAAATTTAAAAATTATCGTTAGTGTGTACACATCTAACGGTCAGAAGACAAGCAGATGGAGTCAGTTTTCTCCCATCTTTATGTGGGTGCTGGGGATCAAACTCGGTCACCAGGCTTGCCTGGCACGCACCTTTACCCACTAAGCCATCTTCCTCTCCCTCCAAACCCTTCTTAGATGGCCACAGGCCCAGGGCCCCTGTGGACTTCCACAGAGATGCCTTCTGGTGTGGCAGCTTTCCTCAGTCAAGAGGAGTGACAGCCCTTTGCAAGGTTCACACTGCTGCCCAAGCAGCGCAGGCAGAGGGGATGGGCATCCCTTCAGCACACGCTGCTCCCTCTCTCCAGCTTGAGAGGCTGGCCTGAGAACCTGTTTGTGGGGCAACTTGAGCACATTTTGTAGGAACAGATGCCTGTGTTTACCACACTTATTAGCACAGGCAGCTGAAGAACCAGGGGGGTGGAGGGGCTTTGGAAGGACTTGAAAACTCACTGCACGTGTGCCCACCCTCTCCCTCCCTCCCTCTCCCCTTGACGCTATGCCTAAAGTACAGGAAGCTCAGCAGAACACACATGAGCAAAGCTGAGCCCTCTGCCCCCTCCTCTTCAGTGATGTAACACGAGGAGCTGCTTGAACACGCTCTCTGGGAGCCCAGGACCAGGAAGGCCTACTTCCCACTGGTGAGCCACCGGGTGAGCTCAGGGCCAGGCCCACATTAGCTTCCCAACAAGGGCTGTACAATGGCGGCCACATCTCCCTCCCAGGCACTGAAGACTCTACCTGAGGCCCTGCTGACTGCTGCCCTTGGCTCCAGATGTGAGGTGCTCCTCTCCTCTCCTCCCCAGGCTGATCTCGAGGGTGCCACCTGGGGCCACTCTCTCAAAGTACCCTAAGGCGCTAGAGAAAACATTCCTGATCTGCAAGTGATACCCTGCTTTATACCAGGAGGTCCCCTCCCTGATCTAAATGCAGGGCTGAGGGCTGAGCTCCCCAAGATTCCAAACTTGCCATCCTTTCCCCACCCAGAAGGACCCAGGCTCAGAATGATCCCAAACCTTTGCAGAGCATCCCCAGGTCCCCTCCTCAGGGAAATGTCACACTTACCATGAGCATGCAGAAGTCAGGCAAATGGCCAGTCATGCCAAAAACAGTGGTCTTAAGATACTTCTCGTGGCCAGCCAGGTCGATGAAAGTAATCACCTTAGTGGACTTTTCACAGATCTTTGTCCATTCGAGGCTGCCACCATGGCTGTCCGGCTTGTTCACTACATTGCCTTCACTGTCAAAGCCCAGAATGTCATTGCCCACGCTGCTGGTTCGACCAGATTCAATCTCATGTTTGTGGCGGAAGAGTTTCTGGCGGGCAAAGCCACGACCATTGTCCAGCTCTCCGTGTGTTAGGACTCCCAGGAGCGTACTTTTGCCAGCATCCACGTTGCCCACCACTGCCACCCTGCATGGACACGAACCAGTGTGAGAACGAGTCCTGAAGAGACTACTCAACCAGAGACTGGGTAACCGCGTGAGGTTCACCCCAGCACCCTGACTCAGGATGTCCCTATTCCTAGATGAGCACAGAGTGGGTGTTCCTGGAGCTGTACCCAGGGAGCAAAGTCAGGGGTCCTGGCTCCTTCAATGCCTACAACCCTAATCCCACTGCTGGGAAGACCCCCAAAGTTATAAAAGCCACAAAGTATCTCCCTAGCTCCCGGTTTCTAGGCTCCCAAGCCGATGGTAAAGTGAACACAAGCACGGGGTTGCCACAGAATGCATGGCTGGTCTTCCCTCCCATGTCCCAGATGGAGTCCTGAGGAATGGAACTCAAAGAGCAGCACTTGAAGACCACAAGTCCCCATACTCTCCTATCCTAGGAAGGAGGGGAAGGCAGGGGACAGGCAGAGCTGACTCCCCAAGTAGCACAGGCTCCATCACATGCTCCGTGAACCCCCAAAAGTCATGCAGCAGGACCCCTGCACGTGTTCTGGGGCCTCCTCACCTGACCTCCAGGAAGTCATTGTCTCCAACTCGTTTCCTGACTAAGTAATCACGCACGCGGCCACCGGCTTCTTGACGCTCGCGCAGTAAGATGACATCAGCCTCTATCTGTTCCGCCATGCTCTTCACTGTGGCGTAGGAGGCCTCCATGTCAGCTTCACTCAGTCCGTACTCAGTCCCATCTGGTGACAAGAGCCCAGACATCAGCAGGAAAGGGGGTCCTGACCAACCAGCCAGTCAACTCTATCTAAACAGACTCCCCCCGGGCACTGCAGAAAAACAGCGACAATTCAGGCACACACCGAGTTAATGTGTGACAGCGCCACAGCTTCCCCTCCTAGCAGGGCACTGGGCAGTTCATTCACGAGTCACCGAGATTCTCCTTGAACTTATGCCAAGCTTCATACTGGGTGCTGGGAATATAAGTGCCCTCAGGGAGCTCACGGCCCCAAGGGAGAGACACAAGAAATTAATTAGTGTCAACAGGATCTGAGCACTACCCTGTAGAGCTGAAGGAAGAGGATGCAAAGCACAGCCCAGGGATGGGGAGGGCAGCTTTGGGGGTGCTGACCCCAAACTGGATCTTCAGAAGCTGAGAAAAGATACCACAGCAGAGAAGTAAAGCCGAAAGCATGGCAGACAGTGAGCAGGCAGGGACAGGAAGAGAGAAGATGCTCTGTGTGGGGAGCCTGATGGCGTCAGGAACAGCGGGAAGTGGAAGCTGGTATACACCAGACAAGAGCAAATGTTCTGCACCAAGGCCGGGGGTCAGGCAGGACAATACCATGGGCAGAGCGAGGTAGGCTGGAAGACCTTCTAGGCAGTAAGCAAGAGGCCAGACGCAGGAGCCCAGCAAGGGAGAAACTCTAATGCCCTAGGCAAGCAAGGAGGGCAGGAAGAGGGAGAGGGGTGGGGGTGGTCCAGGTTATTTTAAAGACAGTTTGTAACTAGGATAGCTCAGGTACCGTATCCAGTCAATGCCTGGGAAAAGAATTTGAGCCCAGCCGGGTGGTGGCAGCGCACGCTTTTAATCCCAGCACTTGGGTGACAGAGGCAGGTGGATCTCTGAGTTCAAGGCCAGCCTGGTCTACAGAGTGAGATCCAGGACAGGCTCCAAAGCTACACAGAGAAACCCTGTCTTGGGGGGGGAAAAAAAAAAAGGAATTTGAGCCCAGGCTGTGGAGGTGGCAGGAGAAGGCTGAGGAACTAGCTTCCTCGAGTCTAAGAACAGCAATGCACCAGGTGCTTCTGTGTGACTGGGTCCAGGGCCCACCCCTCCCTCAGCCCTCCCTCAGCCCCTCCCAAGCACCCTGTAGCACCTCTTCCTTTTCACCACCAGAAACCTTGCCAGGCCAAGCCGCTGCCGCCGCCGCCTCCTCCTCCTCCTCCTCCTCCAGTTCCCTAACGCAAGCCCGCCACCTTCAAGAAGGAAAACCACCCGCTCTCATTGTCCCCCCAATTCTACTGAACACCAAGGAACTGAGATTAGCCGACCCTTGCTGACACTCAGCCCCAGTGCCCTGAGCCGGCCACTCCTAGAGGATCTGCCGCTGCCAAACATCACCAGTGGGCCCCCCCCCATCGTTCTAACCATCTACAACCCTGCTCGCGTCCCCTGAATGCCAGGCTCTGCCAGTCCACCCCAAAGGCCCCCTTCTTCCTCCAAACCTTCCCCTTAGCTATCGTTCTACAGCCTCAATGGCCACTGTCAAGGCTTGGATGACATTCTTATCTAGCACTGGCCACCTTGCCAGGCTCCACATGGAATCCAGTGGCCTAGATGAAAACTCCGGGAAGCCTGATGTTCACTCACCCCCTCACCCTGTAAACAGTGGCCCACAAAGGAGCAGCATCAATAAAGCCCTGGACACCCCCTGTAGCCCGACAAAGCAGACAGTGCTATCACCTTTCAACAGTGCAGTAAACAACTTGACAATTCCAGCACTGGGAAGGATGAGGCAGGAGGATCATAAGTGTGAGGTTCCCCTCAAACAAAGAAAAAAGAGGGAAGAGGGATGGAAGAGCAAGGTAAACAGAAACCAGACACTTCCAAACTGGGGGGCTGCAGAGGGTCACAGTGTAAACTGGAGTCTCCAGACTCCAAACATAGCTGCTTTTCCTTCCTCACTGTCCCTCTGTCTGTCTGGTTGTTCCTTCTCTTGCTGTCCCCTTCTAATAAAGACAATACTTTGCTTCTGGTCACCTACGCAAAACCCTGTCATTAGCCCAGTCCTGCTGATTCCAGTTCTTTATGGTGTTCTTTTGCTGCCAGTCTTGGGGTCTCAGTGAATCTAGTCTGTGTGTCTTGACCCTGCACCACCCGCCACAGCCCATCTAGCACATTCCCTACAAATTTAAGCTCCCAAGGAACCCAGAGTTCTAACATCGCCACTTTCACACCAAGATCTCTGAATGACCTTCCAGAACCAACAGTATTCCTCTCCGCTCCAACTCCTGTAGGTCACTGCCCCACCCGCCTCCGTCATTCCACACTCCTCACCCCTACACTCCAGTCAGCTCTATTCCAGTGCAAGTGACCCATGAGTCCCTCCCCCGGGATCCCACAGTCCTAGCTCTACCCTCATTTCTCACCCCGGCCAATGAACACATCTCCTGTTGGCAAGATCCCCGCAAACACCTGCCCTCCGTACAGCATCTGCCATGGCCTGCCCTTGTGCACATGCTCCTGACTACACAGAACATCTTGAGGTTGGGGACTGTATCTTAACCATTCTGCAGGGGAAAAGCTTCCCTACCTCAAGTTCTCAACTGTTTGGAAAATGTCAAACAACCTGAACCAAGGGGGAGCAGCTCGGCACAGGGTTGAAGGTTCTAATGAACCGCTGAATGAGCTCTGGTCCCTTCTGAGCTGGGGAAGGCTGTCATCCTCACCAGACAATCTTCTTCCCTGGCTGTTCTTCAACAGGGGACAGCACCAGTGTCACCTTGAGCGTCAGAACTCTCAGGTGGTCACATTTCCTTGGCTAACATGCACCACTTTCATCATATTAGAAGTAGACAAGCAGGGCGGTGGTGCGCACGCCTTTAATCCCAGCACTCGGGAGGCAGAGCCAGGCGGATCTCTGTGAGTTCGAGACCAGCCTAGGCTACCACATGAGCTCCAGGAAAGGCACAAAGCTACACAGAGAAACCCTGTCTCGAAAAACCAAAAAAAAGTAGACAAAAGACAAAAGCCAAGGAGAAAAGCCAGAGTCCAATTACTACAGATCACAGCAGCCCTCATCAGGTTTCTGCCCTGCCAGCTCGCTTGCCTTTCCCACAAGTATTCCTCTACTCAAGGTGCTATGCTAGCTTCCCAGGCTTTGGGGACGTAAGTCTCAACGCTTTGGCATGGCATTCAAGCACCATAAAAGGATCCTGCCTACCTGTCCAGGCCCTCCTGACCCCACATTCTCCTCTCCTCACTAGAGTCCATCTGGCCCTCCAAATGTGCATCTCCAGTGCCTCCACGTCTCTGTGCATGTGGTTTCCTCTGTCCACTCGCCACTGCTCACAGAGGAGGCGCTCCTCTGTGTGGCTGTTCCTGACTCCTACAAATACAAACCCTGCTGTGCCATCTGTCACTCCGCTGATCACGAGGGTTGATTAGGCTGATCTGGCTGGCTAGGCAGGTATTCCCTCCCTCTCTCAATGCTCCATCTGTGTCTTTCCAGAAGTTGTGCTGCTCAGTTGAAGATGATGACCTTCCTTGACAGAGAACCATTCTTCAGTGATGGGTATATGAAGCAACTGCGTTCCCCTGCTGGAACCTCCAAATGAGCACTCAAGTCACAGTTTAGCATTTCAGAAACAGTCAAGGTTCTTTTTGCAAAGCAGTCCCATGATAAACCAACTACAAACCTCGGACCCTGAAAAACTGCCCCTGCTAACGCTAACATTTCTGTGCCAAGTGCACTCACTCCTTGAACGCTCATGTAACTCACTCGAACACCATGAGATGGTTTGTTAGAACTCATATTTCCTTACTGTTCGCTCATTCGGAAAGACTTATTTATTTATTTTTAGTTTTTCAGGACAGGGTTTCTGTGTGTAGTCCTGGCTGTCCTGAAACTCACTCTGTAGACCAGGCTTGCCTTGAATTCAGAGATCTACGTGCCTCAGCTGGATCAAAGGTGTGCACCACCACTGCCTGGCTGAAATATCTTATTTTAATTATATGTATGTGTGTCGGAATGTGCACCTGAGTGCAGATGTCCAAAGAGGCCAGAATAGGGTGTCAGATCCCCAGGAGCTGGAGTTGTAGATGGCTTAAATGAAAAGCACACAGGTATAGAACAGAGTCCTCCTGGACTGTGTACAAGATTTCAATGTATTTATTCATGGAACATTTCTCCAGGGCTGGGCAGTGGTGGCACACGCCTTTAATCCCAGCACTCGGGAGGCAGAGGCAGGAGGACCTCTGTGAGTTTAAGGCCAGCCTGGTCTATAGCTAAGGCTGTCACACACAGAGAAGCCCTGTCTCAAAACAACAACAAAAACCCTTCTCTGAAGAAGGTCTCCTTGTCACCATGCTATAGTGGAAGGGCCTGGTGGAGGGATGAAACACCAAGACACAGAAGAAGCTGGAGATGAAGCTGGCTTCTGGGGGCCTTGCAATAGCTTCCATGTTGTCTGATGTTCAACTTGTTTAACCAGTTCCGATCTCTCTCTGCCTCCAAAGAATCCAGCAGACGGAGTCACCAGGATGATGCGTGGCTAATGCCGGGGTGTGTGGGAGATGGGCAAATGAGTATACATCTTACCTTCCAAAGGAGAGTTAATTAGTTGTTGGTATATAGTACAATTCAGACTGCATTAAAGGAGGTGAGAAAAGAAGAGTCTGAGTCTTTGGAGAAGGCGAAGACAGGAGGATCAAGAATTCAAGGCCAGCCTGGATTACAAAGCAAGACCCTATTAAAATACATAAATACATAAATAAGAGTCTGGATTTTTAAAGACTAGTCCTACCCCTTGTCAAAACTGACCTTTATGTGGTTTCTTACAAAGTAGGAAGTGACCTATGAGTGGTTTGTCTTCTTAAGACAGGACAGAGACATATCTGACAAGCTCGCACAAGAAATCAATGAGTTATCACCAGGCAGAATGGCCTTTTCTGAACCCACAGCCTAGCAGCACCTGGCAATGCTGACAGACTCCCTCCCTTCCTTGACAGGTGACCTCTTAGTCTGTCTCTCTGACCATGTCTTCTATAAGGTGATCGGCGCCACAGCTGAGGGGTAGCAGGAGTGGGAAGGACAGGACAGACAGGAGAACAGTTTCAAAGGTGGGCACGGTGGGATTTAGAGACCAAGCCGTTGTCCCTGGTTGTCATCTTGAGGCATTTTTAAACACTGTTTTCTCTGAGATTATTTGTGTACATGCCACCTTTCCTCCTTGGGGGCCAGGACCAGCTCTATTCTGCTTTGTTTTTTTTTTTTTTTTGGTTTTTCGAGACAGGGTTTCTCTGTGTAGCTTTGTGCCTTTCCTGGAACTCGCTCTGTAGACCAGGCTGGCCTTGAACTCACAGAGATCCACCTGGCTCTGCCTCCCGAGTGCTGGGATTAAAGGCGTGCGCCACCACCACCCGCTCTATTCTGCTTTGTTTGGCGTTCCATCGCTGGTGATAGAGTACAGGGCCTTGCATACAGAAAGTGAGCACTCCACTGCTAAGCTACAAGCCCAGCCCAGGGAACCAGATTTTAAGTATCCAAAAGAGCTTTGAAAAAATATTAAGACTTAGAAGATCCATAACCTATGTGTCAAACAGTTGAAGAACAATTTTTTTCCAGTACTGAGGATTCAGTCAGGCCTTGCGTAAGTCAGGCAATGAAGCACTGCTCCTGAGCTATACCTCCGGCCTTTTTTATATTTTTTATCTTGAGACAGTGTTTTAGGATGGCTTGGAGTTGGCCATCCTCCTGCCTCAGCCTCCTGATTGCTAGGCTCACAGGCCTTGGTAGAAGCTCCTGTGAGGGCTCCTTAACTCAGACTCAGACTATTATGTGCCTTTCCACAAGTCTACAAGAAAAGAAAACTGCCCCTAATGATGCACACAGGCCCAGCCCGGGCTTCTTGCAAGTGATCCTCAATAATTTCAGCAAAGATAATATGGTAATGAAGATGAAGGCAGTAAGTAGGTTATGGCATTAAGGTGTAAACAAGGGATGACTGGAAGGTGAGGGTGGGGGCGTGGACAAAACCAATCCCATGATCTCATCGGGGACTCTGACACAGGGTCTGCCTTTCTCTAAAGCTGGAGGCTCCATTATGATGAGTAAGTAGGTTGCAGGACAATAACCAGAATGGTCACATGACTACGAGCCTGGCAAGATACAGTGGGGGCCAGGAAGGACTTCTGTTATCACAACTATCCAGACTGAGTGGTTAGTGTGGTCTGGGCCAAAGCACCTCGGTGAAAGAGAGGAATTCTGAGTGTCTTTACTTGGTGGCTTTAAGAAGAACCACAGAGATTCTCAGCTAAGTAGGAAACAGAAAGCAACGAGATCCATCAACAGGGCCGGAGGGGAAGACCTAGGGTTACCCAAAGCTGGGTTAATTCTAGACCTAGCTAGGACTTGCTTGCTTACCTTAGACAAGAGGTTTCCTTGCCTAAAGCTTCAATTCCCTGAATGTAAAGGAGGGGTCCTGAGGTGGAGAGGAAACATCTGTAAGGGCCCCTGGACAAGGAACCTTGACCCCAAACTTGTCCTGACCACTAAGGTAGGAGCTGATATTCAGTTGCTCGTCTGTCTCCTCTCCAGACAGTCCTGCAGGTACTACAGTGTGGCTGCACGGGAGACACATGAGTCTAAAAGGCGGTGGTGGGGAAATGTGCCCTAAATAATTGTTTAAAATAAAGGAAAGGAAAGCTATGCTCACCTGATCCCTGCCCAATGACATATATGGTCTCTCCGCATCCCTCGTCCATCCTCTCCCACATCTGCCGAAGTAGGCTGTCATACTGCTCTGATGTAGGGCTCACCAGAACCAGCTAGAAGAGAAACCAACAGCCTTAGAACCACACTCGCTAGAGAGTTCCACAGCCCGAGCTGATCAACAGCCTGACCCAAGACCCTGACCAAACCCTAGAGCACTCTAATGGAACACAGCTGTGCAGCCCCCCCCCCACGCTTTCTGCCTCTCCTGAAACAGCCTTATACAACCCAGATGATATACTAAGTGAATTCTGTCTGCAGGAGGACGGTGTGCACAGCCAGCCTCCAGCTCACAAGAGGGTTAGGTCCCAAACGAGAGAAGACAGTCTGACACTGTGAGATAGCGGGCGGAGCAGTGCGGCTCTGTACCACCATCTTCGCCGACAGTGTGCATCAGGGAGTTCAAGGACAGACTGCTCCCTCACAGCCATGCCCTCCACCCACAGGCCAGAGCTCCCGTAATAACAAAAGAATTCTGCTCTACCTTGTCTAAGCTGTCTTGATTACTAGAGTGAAAACAGCCTGCAAAAGGCTTTCTCTGTCAACAAAACCCTACCGCCACTAAGGTTAGTATTATTTTACCATGGGCTGTGTACATCCTGTCAATAACAAAGTATCAACCACTTATTTGGGGAGGTCATTGCTATCAGGCATGCCAGGTTTCATTCTATAGCCACTCCTATGTGACCTTGGACAAAGAACTTAACCTCTCCGAACCTCAATTTTCTAGTCTATAGAATAACATAAAGCATTCGGGTTGGCTCATGTCTGTGATACCAGCACTGGGGTAGCTGAGGCAAGGAAATTGCTGAGTTTGAAGCCAGCCTGAGTTACAGAATGAAATCCTGTCTCAAAACAAAACAAAATAAAACAAAAACAAAAGCGTCTAGGCCAGGCTCAACTAACACTCAGTACAAAGTTATCTTTACTCAGACATTTCTACAAAAACTGCATGAATCTCGCCACCATTGATCTTTGTTTGTCTTGCTGGAAGCTCTCGGAGCCTTAACTCCCCACATTTTTTAGTAATAGTGAGGTATAAACATCTAGACTATTCTTTCCAGGGCTTAAATCTATTCAGTCCACCCCTTCTCTCCTCCACATGATCAGCTTTTCTTTTACACACACACACACACACACACACACACACACACACACACACACACACACAATTTCAAAGTCCTGAGGATTTCCCCAGCACTCTGATGAAGTTCCTTACTCATGGCAATTAAATAAAGTAGTCAAAAAGGCACCACCCTCTCACTCTGTCCCCATTTCCCACTATGTTTCCAGGTTTCTTCAGCTCCCTGACCATGTACCAACATCCTGCCAGTCCACTTCTAACATGCCCATTTAACTCATCAGAGCGTCTAGTCATAACCCGGATGCCGCCAGGGTTACACCGTGTCCTACATTCTGGATGGAGGTCTCCCTGAGCTTGGCCACCCTCATTATGGTATTAGAGGAACTGGACAGGACCACCATAACAAAAAGAAGCTAACTGGCTTCCAAGTGCCCCGCAGAGACTAGAAGGAAAAAGTACAATTGGGAATCACTTCCTTGGGTTTCAGGAAAAGGTTCTTTCCAGTTTAGAGCTAAGTTTTATGTAGTTGTGCCACCATGAGATGTCACAAACATTTTCAAAGCTCCATAAAATCTCCCATCAAAGTAGTAATCAGACCAGACCCTGCTTAGCTTCTGAGATGGGACGAGATCAAGCTCGTTCAGCATAGTATGGCCACGGACATCAAAGCGCCATAAAATCTCTATTGTAATTATCCTACAAAGGGCAGGGAGTGAGGTTGTTCTATCTTTCATCAGCTGCTTTTTAATCCTCATAGGGAATTATCATCTATCTAGTCCAAATACTTACTGAGTCTCTGATATGGATCTGGTACTATAATAGGTGTCTTGACATACACTTCTAATTTTTGCAAGGCATCCATAGTTTCTTGATGGAATAGCTGGGGAATTGAGAAGTTAAGAAACTTTCCCAAGGTCACAGAACCTCTTTAATGGCAAGAGTTGGAAGGGAAACCCGATCCTCCCTGTCTCTCCAAGTGGTCATTAGTTTCTTTAGTGACGTTAAATACTTTCTAAACACCAGTTACATCTTATACTTACATTTCTATTTTTCACAATGCCAAGTAGATGGTGAGACCTTAATTTCTGCCTCCCTTCTCAACAACTCAGAACTATTTAAAACCCCTTCCTTATTCCATGCATACAAGAGATGGCTCCACTCCTAGGTGGCAAGACTGTGGGTCCTGCCCATTGTCTGTCTTTCTATTTTTTAAATTATACTACATGGCGGGGGGAGCGTGCCACGGCGTTCGTGTGGACATCGGAGGACAACCTGTGGGAGTCAGTTCTCTTAAGTCCAGGGGATCAAATTGAGGTCCTCAAACTTAAGAGGCGAGCGCCTTTACCTGACGAGCCATCTCGTCAGCCCCATCTTTTTATTCTGTTCGGGTGGACACGGAGAGTGGACACTCCTCGGACATCATTCTCGCCGCCTGAGCAACTACTTTCTGTTTCCTTCCAGGGACCAGGAAGAGAAGCGGCTGCCACCCTGCAATCCCCTTAGAATAGGCTACCTGTCTTCGAAAGCATCCCGCCCCCTGCCCAAGCCACCTTGACCCTCGGGCGTCCCGGACGCTCGAGAAGAGGAAGACCCTGTGTCTCGGGGACCCCTCCTGGGGAGGACGGGCTGGCCCACAGAGAGGGACAGGGATGCGGGGCGCGCGGCCGGTGTGGGGAGCCCCATTCCACGTGGCGGAGCCAAAGGGGCAGCCGGCGATCGAGGCGGGAGCGGAGAGCGCGGGAGGCCGGGTGGAAGCTGCCGGGTGCGGAGAGTGGGCCCGGGCCCCCGCACGTCCCGGAGCGCGGCAGGTGGGCGGGCT